ACAGTAGAGACACACAATATATTAAACTGAAATGAGCATAACAGGGCCCACTTAAATGTACAAGTTGTATTTATAGCAAGCATCTAGCAGCCATTAATAGTAGCCTACAGTATTTCTCCTGCACTAGGAGGGTTTCAAAGATGCTTGGCACGTATCAATTCAAAAATGAAAGGTATGTTTGTTTCAAGATATGATGATATTTGTGCACATCCAACAGTATAAGGGCATCTCTAGGTTATATAAGCCTACTAACCCTTTCTATTATAACTGTAATAATGATATCACCTTAATTGTTTGAATTCACCATTTTTAAACGCATCAGCACTATTTTTAGTCCTTCTTACGGGACGGCACAGATAGAGGAGAAGTGTTATCACAACGTTAATATAAATCTGATACGGACAGCACAGGAGTTATTCTCGGAATGAATTTATGTTAGCAGGGTTTTAAGGCGCTACCTAGATTAGAGCGATTTAGAAGTGAGATTTGTCCGCTTTCCTCACAGGTCTACTCTCTGATCCATCTTCCATTAGTCCCCCATTCATTATTCAACACATGAAACGCTGCGTAGGACGCGCTCTATCACAGAATCATCCAACACCCCCGTTCTCGCTCACCTCCTCACATTTCTTACGTCGAGCCATTTCTTTTGGCAATGTTTAAGTCTGTAATTTGATTGGACGTTTCAGCCGGCGTCCATTTAGGTGGGACATAATACGGAGAGGTCTACAGTGTGTTTTCCATTATCTTTTTACTGTACATTAAAAATGAATGGGGTTGGAGTTTTACAAGAGCAATTAGGGCTGAGAGCACACTCAGAGATCAAACAGGGCTGCAGGCTGGATGGCCACTGTGGGATACACCCTGAGTCATGAATCCCCCCCCCCCCCCTCCCCCCCAGCTTTACACTTTACTCCACTATCTTAGATGTTTGTCAACATTATGATCATACACTGTTGTGAAATGATGTGATTTACTCCCCCTTGCCTGTGTGGGGTTGTCAGACACTAATTTCTGATCAGAGTTTAGTGGTCCCTCGTCAGCTGAGAGTTCAGTTTTGGGCTGTGAGTGTATTTCATGGCCTGACGACCAGACCTGACTCTTATTTCACTGCAAACACTGTGGGACTCTGGTTGCATTCAAGTGGTAATGGGTTACATAAAAAGGAAGTGAATCCACATGTGGGGACTCGCCCTGCTCTTGGCATGTTGATGTTGTTGAGTTAAAAGGCAGAGAGGGCACTAGCTTATCACCGAGGACCCCTAGTGGTTTAAGCATAAAATACAGTAACTAGTATCTAGGTAATAGGAAATGCAAGGGGGGGAATACTAAAACAAACGCTCCTTGTCTTTAAAGGTGTCATTTGAGCAATGCTTTATTCTGAAGTCTGTCAAAAGCATGCAAACATCACAAAGCTGAACTTAGCCAGAAGTTTAACCCCATCCATTTCCTCCTTCCTTTCCTCAGGTTGCCCGGCTGTGGGGCATGCAGAAGAACCGTCCAGCCATGAACTACGACAAGCTCAGTCGCTCTCTGCGCTATTACTACGAGAAAGGAATCATGCAGAAGGTACAAACAGAACCATTTCCCGTCTTTTAATTTAAATGTATACAGATTTCTAGATGATAAAGCAGCATTGCTGAGGTGTATCCTCCTTATGTGTTCATAGTCCACCTTTATCCATTTATGGTACCACTTTCCTTCTCTTCTTAACACACCCTTTATAAAGATGTATTCAGTTGAATCATGTACTAATGCTTTATAGATTAGTTCTTAAATATTAATGAGAATTATCTATTGTTGTCGTACTTGCAAAAACAGCAATATGCCTGGTGTGGAAGTTTCTTAAGCATGGCACAAAGGGGTTTTACAACTATCCCCCAAGTTGAAAATGTTAAAGCTGTTTTTTTTTTTATTACCACATTTAAAGGGCATTTAAGCCATTACATACTATACTATAACTTTTGAGGACATTTTAATGTGGTACTTTTAGGCCAGGTTATATAAATATATACGTATATATGAAGAAACTCAAATATATCAATATATATTTAAATAATGAATAACAGAACAGTAAGAACAAGTTCAGAAGATGTCATCGTTACCAAGAAAAGACACTTATGCCTTACTCACAGTGGCGGCGCCAGGGTATGGCTGGGGTAGGCTACAGCCATACCAAGAAATGGCATAGCCCCACCTTAGCCCCACCATGAAAAATGATGTTAAAGTAAGCAAATTAAATTAAATAATAAGCGAAATGCTAAATGTTGAGAACACGGCTTGCGAAAATATACGGGTCGTGTCCACAGCACACAAACTGATCCTGCTGTAACAACAAGTGCACGTTACTGATGCAATATGGTTGAGACCATTCGGGCTTATGCTAGAAGAGGGGTGCAAGGAATAGTCTAAGTAGTGGGGAAGTTTTATACACTAAAGGTGTGGAAATTCTCTGGCGTTATAATATCAGCGCGGCCGCGGTCAGATCAAAATGCCTCCGAATGCAATTTGAATAGACCTACTGCCAATCAGAGCAACTCAACGTTGGATCTGCGTCATGCCTTACTGATTGAGATCAGTCGAAACCGCCATTCAGTATCCCCATTGGATCTTCAACGTGTACTATCATACGTCACGTTCACAGTGATCCCTTTTTATTTACTTCAAGACAAATGTGCCGTTTTATTTCATACAGTTCCATTTTGATTGAGACAGGGAAATAATCTAAACCTCACGCGTGGCGTTTCACTGTCAAGGGGGGCGATATAGCGTGTATGTAATTACATTGCAAATACTGACTTGAGCCCCACCACTGTATGGGTTAGCCCTACCATAGATTACCCAACAAAAATACTCTGGCACCGCCACTGCTTACTCACAATATATATACAATAAATATGTATTACCCAATCCTATGACATTTAAGTGACATGTTAAATGACATAAAATGTCATAAAAAAATAAGCCCCTTCACCTTTTGTGACTGAAATAGACAAGGTCAACTTTTGTACACCAGTGTGTTATTTCGTATGCATTCCTAAAGTACTCATGTCCCTGCTCTTTCTCCAGGTGGCAGGGGAGCGCTATGTTTACAAGTTTGTGTGTGAGCCCGAGGCCCTCATCTCCCTGGCCTTCCCCGACAATCAGCGGCCCAGCCTGAAGGCCGAGTTTGAGCGCTACGTCAACGAGGAGGACACGGTGCCCCTGTCCCACCTGGACGAGGGAGTGCCCTACGCCACAGAACAAGCCCCCCAAAACATGGGCCCCCAGCCCTACTCCAAAGGCTACATGTACTAAAGCCAGCCAGCCCCCACCCTCCCTCCTTTCTCCCCCCTTCAGATATCTTCCTGTTGTATCAACCCATCATCATACACATCCTGAAACCCCATGCACCTCTTGCACATGCCCACCCCATCCACTTGTATATAATAAGGCTATGGTGTTTTTGTTTTAAATTAATCTCATAAGGGATTTTTTGTTTTATTTTGTTTTTAAGAGCTGCATTCCTTTCACATCTGATGCCTATTCAATCCATAAACATGACTGTGGTTGAAGAGATTGCTTAATAAATACTCATAATACCCAAACTGCAGTCCAGGCTCTTTTTTCTGCCTTATGGTATGAGTAACATAACATGTCAAAATGTCATAAACATTTATAGAATAGTATATAAAAGAAAAAGTTATCAAATAAAAGTTATGGTATAGTATGTCATACAAATTGTATACAAATATCGCCGTATAGTATGCCATCCAAATGTTTTAAAAAGCCATTAAGAAGTAAACTATAGTATGTAATAAAAATGTCACAAAAAATCATAGGATTGTATGTCATGTGGGAAATATGTAATGGTAAAGCTTTAAAATTAGGTTATAAAATATTTTCCGACATGCTATGGGGTTGTTTTGGGTTTATTTTAATATTTTCGACAATCTATCGTATGTCATTTTTTCTAATATATTCGACATACTGCAATATTTCGTGATATCTGATATTTTTGTCGTATTATTAGTATGCTGTTTTATCTAATAATTTAAACACATTTTAAACGGTTTTTATTATTTTTTTAATACTTTGCTTTGATTTTTTCGCCATACATTAGTTTTTTTGTGTTATTTTTATACACTGTCATATTTATTGACATTTTGACTATACTAGGCCCTTATGGCTGAAGTTCAGTTGTTCTATAAATCTTTTGCATATTTTCGACATGTTTGCCGTCATATAATATGTTGAAGATATGCAAAGAAAACAGCATAGTATAGTATGTTGAACAAATATCAAAATGTTTACAAAATGTCTACATTTTCTGAAAAAAACGACATCGTATAGTATGTCGAGAATATTTTTTAAAACGACATAGTATTGTATGTCGAAAATATCGAAAATATGCAACAAACGACATATAGTACAACGAAAATATTAAAAAAATATATGCAAAAAGACATAGCATAGTATGTCCAAAATAAATAAAAAAACATAGTATGTCCAAAATACATTTTAAAAAACGACATAGTATTGTATGTCGACATTTTTGTACATGTCTTTTTTGCTGCTTCATGTTATGAGGCAAATGTGGGTAATGTTTAACTTCAACTTGTTCTTGGATACCCCCTTTAACCCTACTTATAAGTGAGGACTGGATTTTGGAATTTAATGGAAAGCATAAACAAACTGATCGTAATAATGACTAAACTTCTTAAATGTTACGACAAATAGCTACTTTGCTTACCTACTGAGAGTTATGTGAGCATTTGTATACCTGTCTGTGCAGAACATGAAGCTATTGCTGGCAGCCAATTAGCTTAGCATAGCATAAAGGCAAGAGGCTCCCTGGATTTTGTTAGCGTTTGGCTAGCCGTTTATAATCTTTGTGCAAAACTAAGCTAATCAGCAGATTATATTTACTGTACAGACAAAAAGAGGTATATTTCTTAAAATGTATATTCCATTAATCAAAACAGCTTTGAATAAATAATTCAATTAAGAGGCAAAAGCAATTAAAAGTGCATCCAGTGTTTATCTACAATTACGAAAAACAATTATCAATATTGCAATTTCTTAACAATAACATTTATCACCCTAATGTCACCCTAATAGAAAATGCAATACAGGAAGTGTTGACCAATTTAAGACAAGGATATCAAGGCTAAATAAAGCATTACTGAATGAATATAAAATTCTAATCCAAGAAAAGGCCATTTTGGAAAAGCAATATTAAGTCTATTTCTCAGTCAGTATCAACTACACAGATTGTCCACATGAAATAATAATGTGAGGCACAGGAAGTATTCAGCGTCGTCTGAAGGCGCGGGAGATTCTCCAGGCGTTGGGCTCCTCGTAGCGGTTGTACAGAGGCTCCAGTTTCAGCTGCTTCTTCTGCCGGCTGAGGCGATGAGGGTCGGCCACTCTGTAGAACGCTGGGGCGAACTCCACCAGCCAGCGGGGGTCGATGGTGGTCACCTCCCGCATGTACTCCTTGGTCGTCAGCACCAACTCATGGTACACAAGCCTGAAGGAAGCATGATTAGGAAAATACACTTAGCATTTACTAGTTTTGTTTTATTGTAAAATACTTTCAGTGTTTATCTACAACATTATTGTAAAATGCCTCGTCTTTTATGCTGCTGCAACAAAAACAATTTCCCAAATTGGGATCAATAAAGTACCATCTTATCTTATCTTATCTTAGGGCTGCAGCTTATAATTCATTTTAAATCACCAAAATAACTAAAACAGTCTTTCAAAGATTCTGCAAAAATGTGACTTTTCTTTGGCAAATCAACAAAAATACGCTGCTTCCAGTTCTTCTCTACTTTGAAGTGTATGTTTGTTCATCATAATACTGAACATCAATGGGTTTTTTGGATAGGTAACTCATTTAAAGACGTCACCTTTGGCTCTAAAAACCTTCAATACTAATCATTTGTTGTGATGACAAATTATTTTTACTAGATACAGTGATTCAAACATAGACAAACCTCCCAGAAAAAAAGAGCAAAATCCAGAAATTCTACTTGATAAATTAATTAAAATAACGGATTCATTTAAGAACAAAAAATGTCAGCAATAATAACGAGTAATCCAAGGTCTAAGTAAGGACCAGATGATGTTTGTGATGTATTTTAGATTTCTGGGATCAGCCCTGCAGGACTCACCACTCAGGCTGTCGGTTGAAGAGGGTGCTGGAGGGGTGGAGGTACACCACCTGCTGGTCGATCAGGGTACGGTAGCCATCATGGGGGTGCTTCCTGGCACTGTTCCTGAAGTAACCGCTGCAGATGGCTTTCTGGACCCGCACTGTAGCTTTTCCACAAGATACCACGTCCAGCTTGTGTCTGAGGAATATTTAGTGTTAATATTTTAATACAACACTCAAAATGTGTATTCTGTATTCACAAAACATTATGGAAGGATTATGTTGATTGAGGTTAAACATGTGTGACTTTTACATAATTTTAGATAAATTGCTGCCTAATAACTACTATGATTACATCTAAAGTCAGTGTTACCCAACATCTCATTTAAAACATCCTTGAAATACACATAGAACTTGAACTGAAAAAATTTGACAAAACAAGACGTTGATGCCAATGCTATTTCCAGCATTTCATAGGCCAACTGATTGATTGTAACATGAACTGCTAGTTGCAGCCTTAGCTGAGGTGCATATGTACCGGTCCATGATGCTCAGCATCTGCTTGCGGATGTCCTGGGCTCTCTTTAAGGAGCGAGCCTGGACGAAGTTCTCGAAACACCAGGGGTTGGAGAACTTGTTGTTCTTCCAGGAGTTGTAGACAGACAGCAGGGTCAGGTGGTCTCCCTCCAGCTGGAAGAACTTTGTCTTTTTCTGGTCAGCCTGGGCCTGTTTGTCCTGAAAATGTAAAGATATTGAATTTAGTTTTTATATTTATTTTGAAAAAACAGTGATTCTGAAACGTGTCTTGGTCTAAAGCATGTTTTAACCTTGAAATGTGAGGCAAAAGTAGTTATTGGTAAGTCTAGCCTTATCTGGCTTGTACCCGTGGTGTGTGTTAGCCACATACCTTAGGTCTGTAGAAGATGTTCTGCACAGACAGCATGGAGACAATGGTGAGCATCTCTTCACTGCAGCCCAGATGGACGGACATGATCAACATCTTACACAGCATGGGCTCCAGAGGAAACTCTGCCATCTGAACCACAGAGACATTGGTCAAACAAATACAGACAGTAAACAAAGTAAACAGAAGATCAAACCAAAATGTGTAGACAAACATATGAAACCTTAGGTATTAAATCAAATAAAATCTAACTGTATTATAGCCCCAAAAGGCCTCAAAGGGCTGTACAAAGCAAACAAAAACAAAGTCAAAAACAAAATACAAACTTCATAGCATAAAAATTATAAAAACATTATACATCAACATAAGTATTGCCATGTGATAAAAGCATGTGACTGAAGTGATGGTAATGTTGAACGGAAACTAGGTGATGGAAATTAGTTTACAAGGAAGACAGATGCGAAGAGATGGGTTTTGAGTTTGCTTTTAAAGGAGTCAACGAAAATAGCTTCGCGGATCGGAAATGGAAGACGATTCCAAAGGAGAGGTGCTCGGAATGAAAAGGCTCTGCCACCTACGGATGATTTTTGAATTCTGGGGATGGAAAGGAGACTTGCATTATGTGATCGTGGGAGCCTGGTAGATATTCGCGGGGTAATTAATGATGACAGATACAGAGGTGCTAGTCCATGTACGATTTTAAAGGTTAATAGTAAAATCTTGACGTCAGATCTTATGTGAATCGGTAGCCAATGCAATGAAATGAGAACAGGGGTGATCACATGTTCTGGTTCTGGTTAATATTCTGCCAGCTGTGTTTTGAACCAGTTGTAGTTTGGCGGTGGTTGATTTTGGTAGCCCGGAGAAAAGTGAATTGCAGTAGTCCAACCGAGATGAAACAAAAGCATGGATTCAAGTTTCAGCATCGGCTAGGGAAAGCATCGGACGAATCTTTGAAATGTTTTTGTGATGTTAGTAATGTGATTTTTTAAAATACCAGATCTGGATCGAATACAACTCCAAGATTTTGATCAACGGACTTTGTGGATGGTTGAACCAGCTATGTTCAGGCTGAGGTCGCAGAATTTGTCCCTGATATGTTGTGGACCAAGAAGTAACATTTCAGTTTTTTCTGTGTTTAATTGGAGGAAGTTTGATGACATCCATAGTTTGATTTCTTTTATGCAATTTTCAAGTTGTGTCAGTTGATGAGAGTTGTCCGGCTTAATAGAAATGTACAGTTGAGTATCATCTGCATAAAAATGGGATCCTAATTGATATTTATTAATCAGTAAACCGAGAGGAAGCATGTAGATGGAAAAAAGGATGGGGCCAAGCACAGAGCCTTGGGGGACACCATAGTTCACTATTTTATGTTCTGAAGAGCAGTTTTTGTAGAGAACAAAATGAGATCTCCTGGTTAAGTAAGATTTTACTCAGTCTTTACGAGCACTTCTTGCACAAATCATACAAGTAAATACATCTGTATCATTAAATAACTGCCATTTCAAGGTTTTATCTTATAAAAGATAAAGGAAATAGATTTTCCTATTGTCCTCACCCTTCTTCCCAGCCGTGTGAGTAAGCCTTCATCATCCAGCGCTCCCAGAGTGTACAGCTGCTCCATGGCGATGATCAGCGTCTCCATGGGAGGGGGGTCCATGAAGTCAAAAGCCAGGAGGTCGTTGATGCCCATGGCCTGGAGAGAGAAGGACATAACAAAATAGAAATATAATCGTATGTCTAAAAGAAAATAATAATAATCAGGCAACATAGATGACCACATCTATAGTCCAGTAGGAGGGCTCTAGAGAATTTGGGGCATCATAAATGAATTTGGTGCATCATAAATGACTTTTTTACTAAATTAATGAAGCAAACATTTTTAAGATTAGTTAATAAATGTTTAACACATAATAACTTGTGATACTGTATGGAATAGTATTAATATTATTGAGACTAGGAAGTTGTATTGTAATAGATTATAAAGGTGCACCTGAAGAAGCTACCACTGGGTGTATGTACTGTATATTAATATTTAATATACATTATTAATAAAAAAAGTTGAAGGACCCTGCATTATGTGTAAGACCCATCCATCAGCCTATTGTTTATAGCTAGTCAAAAGCATCAATAAGACACTTATAATTCAATAATTTACTTACAGAATGTTTAATGTTGTTTTATCAGTAATGTATCAAAACCACAAATGCAGTTGGACAGAGGAAGATATTATTATTTTAATCTCAGTGCATTACCTTCAGAGAGAGCACCGTGCTGGCTAAGCTGGTTCTCTGGATCTCCGGCACGTTGGTGGTCAGCATCTCGTCTCTGTAGGCCCTCTCAGTGTAGAGCCGGTAACACTTCCCCGGACCCGTCCTGCCCGCCCGCCCGGACCGCTGCTTGGCCTGCGCCTGGAAACAGATCCAGAGTGTGTAGGGAATTAGTTTAAAAGATAAGAACACTGAGGTTACCAAGTAGGACATATGTACAATTTTGACTTCAAGTTTATAAGAATTCAGGTAAAAATGGATGAACCTGTGATATGGGAGTCACAACAAGCTGGTCGATGCCGGTCTTTGAGTTATAAATGATCTGTTTAACAAAGCCAGGGTCCACCACGTAGTAGATTCCATGGATAGTAAGAGATGTCTCTGCAATGTTAGTGGCAATGATGACCTGGTGGTAAAGAAAGTACGAGGTTAAGAAATAATTTAGTCTTCCAGGTATATGATGTGTTCTTTGCTTTTAAATTGAATACAAAATGAAACCTACTTATAAAATATCAGTTTCAATCAATAAATTGCCCAACAGTCACATCTTTACTCTTATCCGGAGCAGATTATTACCTTTCTGCTGCCGGGGGGTGCGGGGTCAAAGATCCTGGTCTGCATCTCACTGGGCAGGGCAGAATAAACTGGCAGAATGATCAGGTCAGGAACATTCGGCCCCAGGGACTTCATTCTCTCGTACAGGATCTCACAAGCAGTGTCGATCTCTTCCTGTCCCGTCAGAAACACCAGGAGGTCCCCTGGATAAAGAACAGAGAAGGGAACGTTAAATTAACATTAAAGCTTATTCATGTTCGTGTAAGGAAAATAGTTTGTGACAGGATCGTACCTGGAGGTTCAGTCAGATGGATCTGCATGACAGTGATGAGACTGGCATCCAGGTAGTCCGTCTCAGGCTCCTTGCAGTACAGAACCTCCACTGGGAACGTTCTTCCTGGGATGGTGAAGATGGGCGCTTCACAGAAATACTGAGAGAACTTCACAGCATCCAGTGTAGCAGAGGACACAATCAGCTTCAGCTCTTTGCGCTTTTGTATGGTCTGAAAGAGACATGGGAAGTTATTGTGTGGGTATAGATTTGCTATTCTTTAAAAAATATCCATGGTTTGTAGAATGTAAAATACCTTCTTGAGAAGACCAAAGAGCACATCAGTGTGGATTGTTCTCTCATGGGCCTCATCCAGCATGATGAGGGTATACTGACTCATGTCTGGGTCCAGCAGACACTCCCTCTGCAGCATGCCGTGGGTCATGTACTTGATCACTGTTTCAATACTGGTGCAGTCCTCAAATCGAATGGTGTAACCAACCTAAAAATAATAATTAAAAAATATATATGAGTTGCTAAGAATTTATTTTACATATTAAAAATAGTTCCTGATTGTTGTTGTGTTAGTGTTGGAGATATTGGCCGTGGAGAGGTCTTCCTTCTCTCATTATAATGGCACTAGATGGCACTCTGTGGTGCTCAAAGCGCCCCAAAAAATTCATTTGAAGAACTCATACTTAATGTGTTTTTCCAGAATTAATCACTTTATATATATAATATGTATTCTACAAAACATGTAGGAAGCAGGGCCTATTTTCCATACCACCGCACAACTAAGTTAACATTTAGGGCGTCCTCTGCTGAGCTGTAATGTTAGCTAGCCGAGTAGATGCACGCTTTCTTCTACAGTTGGCGGGTGTCTTTTGGTAGAAAGAAAATAGTTCCTACATGAAACAGCTCACATCAAGGTCTGTGGATTATATTGGGAAACTGGGTGATTTTTTCCGAAACAGTTTTTTGTACACAAACCAGTTGTCGTGCAGTTCAACTATATTGAAAATAAAGGCAGACATCTGTACAGCTTATATCTCCAACACTCTGCAACTCACAGCAAAACTATCTAGATTGATAAATAGTACTAGTCAGGTGAAAGGATGAAATATATTTAATTAAACTGCCCTTTTTAGAACATCACTGACCTCTTGGCCTAGACGGCAGCCGTACTCCTCAGAGACCCTCTTGGCCACGGACATGGCGGCCACACGGCGGGGCTGCGTGCAGCCGATCTTCCCCCGGGCGGTGTAGCCGGCCTCCGCCAGGTACTGAGTGATCTGTGTGGTCTTACCAGACCCTGTTTCTCCGACTACAATTAAGATCTGATTGTCGTGGACAGCCTGTAAAGAGGAACAAATGATTGGTACGGTATTAAATAATAACTGCTGTAATTAAACATGTTTGTATTGATTGCTCATGTGTGGCACTTTTAGACGTCTTTCAAAAGCCCAACTTTCTCATTCAGTTTCCCAATCATTGACTACCACGGTTCTTACCTGAACAAGCTGTTCCTTGAGCTTGTAAATAGGCAGACTCTCTCTCTGCTGCAGGATGGAGAGCTCTGTCTTCTGGCCGTACGACGCCTGGTTCCCTCCGAAGGCATGTCTTTTCCACTCTGGAAGATCAGCAGGCATAGCGCCGATGCCTCTCATGTTGGCAGCAATCTGCCTTCCTAAATCTGGACAGGAGAGGAAGAGGGACTGATGTTAAGTTACCGGCAAGACCCTACTGTATTGTTTAATCAAGATGAACTGCAATGATAATAAACTTGTAACAAGCTTTTTTCTTTATTAGACGATGAGTCAGAGGTAGTGAGCAGAGCTGGAAGGAACTTGTTAGCCGACGTCCCCTCAGGCTATGAGAGACAGAGTCACAGTGCATTACTGCTTTGTGTGCCAGCGTAGACTCATGTGGAAGCTAGATAATCATCTCCAGCCATGCCATGGTAACAATGTCACAGTGCAGTAGGCCTGGCAAGGCAGATTTAATTTCCTACATTTTAAATCTCTGACTCAGCACGAATTGGTTTCGTCCGGTTAAATGTGTGGTCCACTGATGCTCGTAGATCGTACAGACAGGGCTACACACATTGTGTTTGCTGAATCATTACATGTGTATTGCTTACAATCAGGCATCGGGTCGACCCAGTTCTTGTGCAGGCCGGTGGGGATGGAGTCCAGCTCTGCAGCGCGGGCCGACTGCTTCAGCTCTCTCCTCTCCTTAGCCAGGGCGCTCTGCATCATGGCCGCCTGCGAGAGGGAGCCGTCGGGATTCTGAGGGACAGAATAAAAACAGTGGTCGGTGTGATAGAGAAACAAATACAACAATCTTTTAAAACTGCATCGTATGTTAAAGCACCAACATACAAATCCAAATGTACTCATAGGCATCTAATCTATTATTTAAAATAAATCCTCATCAGCATCATCCAACTACAGAGCCACCAGTCAAACCAAGGATACATATAGTCAAGTAGAGTGACAGCAGCAGTAGATTAGCACTGCAGTGCAGATAGGCATGTGTTTCAGTGCACCCTCTGCAGGCAATGAAAGTAATTGCTACTGCAATCTGAAACTGCATTTTTCATTTTCTTTAAAGTCGCCGTTAAAGGTGGGGTAGGTAATTTTGGAGAAACCGGCTCGAGTGCGCTAGAATTTGAAAATACACAACCGGAAAGAATCTGCCACTTCCTTACAGAGCCCCTCCTCCAACACACACGAACGCGCACATGACCAATGAGGGCACAAGATAAGTTTGTGCACAGATGGAAGGCTGACAGGCAGGTAGGCCATCCAGTTATTTTAGCCGGGCCGGCTCAGATGATTGGTCGTACTTTTTACAGTACTACGGCTTCCACAGATGAAATGTTGTAATATATTCATTGCTATCGGGATGTTAAGAGCATTCCATGGAATATAACAAAAAGTGTTTCTGAAGTGAATTACATACCCCACCTTTAAGTGTTTTTTTTATTGTATATTTTACATTTGAATGCTTACATTTTAAAATGTACTCTGGTGTTCTTATAGGAATTAATTGAGTGTCACAATATTATTTTCCACTTTCACAAATGCCATATTGTTTAAATAATGCCACAAACATGTATATTTTTTCTGGGTGAAATTAATATTATTTTGTTCTTACAGTCTAGTAAATGATTAGAACATTGATGTTGATGCACTGCACCAAACACACAATAAAGCAACAATGGCACTAGTAGAAACCAAGAATATACGATGTATTCGCCCCATAAAGTAACCTCAGCAAATTGCTTAATTTTGTGGGAAATAGTTCAAACCACAATTTTGAGCCTGGTATAATAAAGTGTATGATTTGGTGCTTTAATTGCTGTGGGATAGAAAAATACATACCTTTACTATCCTCACGGGGCTCATATTGGCGCCCCATTTCGTCTGTCCCCTCAGGAAGGGGGGTTCGTCATCCACCAGATCAATCTCCAGCTCTTGATCTTGTTGAGGGAATAATTGCAGGGAAACATTATCATGCTGTCTAACTGTCCTTTCACAGAAACTTGAGAAAAAGGTCTTCAGTTTTACCTTCATCTTCATCTATTTTGGGAAGGATCCCCGTCTCTTCGTCAAATTCCGGGAACTCTTCTTTAGGAAGTACGTTGGCTGCAATCATCTAAACGGGAGGAAAGCATTTTATAGTGAATGTTTAGAGAAACAGCCAAGAAAAAAAAAATCTGTTGCAGATGTTTTCAATGAATACCTGTTTAATTTCCCATTTCTCAAGGTCAGTTATCTTGGCGAGGCGTTTGCGTTCCATGGGGTTTTCATCTATGTCCAGCACGATGGCCTCCACAGGGCGGTCGGGGTTCCTCAGGGCCTCCTCTCCGACCACAGGGTCCAGGTTTCTTCTCCGGTTGGGGTTCAGGTCCTCCCCGGTCCCCTGGTCCACATCCTGGCAACATGTCAAACATTATTAAAATGTTTCTGACCAATTATTGTATTGTATGCAAATACATTTATGTTTTAGTTTAGCAAACTAAGTTTCTCATTGAAATTAGCAGCTTCCAGAAAATGTAATCTAAATTTCAATAACCATAAATCATTGTACTAAACATTTTATTGTATTACATTGTCTAAAAGAGGAGAACAATGCATGATTTATGATCACATTTAGAAACTAACTTATCTAAAGAAAAAACAATATTATATTACTCTAAAAAGTAGTGTAGGGGAAAAGAACAGACAGGACATAGTGATAGGATTTCATTTCTTCACACATTATTTTCTCACCGTTTCCATTTTGGTAAATGGATTTCTCCATACAGCACATCATACCAACAATATATATTTGTCTTACCCTGTTGCACACGACTCACCTTCATGCTAAGGCTGGCTTTGGTTCCAGTGAAGGACAGGACTTTAGCCTTCACCTTTTGGCCTTTGGTAACAACATCAGCGACATTGGCTATCCGTCCTTCTTTGCGCAGCTCTGAGATGTGCACCAGGCCCTCCCAGCGTTTCCTGCACAGTTACACAATATAACCTTAATGTTTCTGTTTTGACAACTAAAGTGCCATATGGTGAAAGGTATAAAAATATAGCGAATAATCCAAAGACTGATCAAAACAATCAAAACTGAGATTTAAAGAAGAGCTAAAGAAAATGTAGAAGAACATAATTTAAAAAAATACTATACAATTGCTAGTCTATATTCTATGTTTCAAAAACATTGGTGGTGTGCATTGGTTTGCATTGCTGTATTAAAAACATGTATCTGACTGACCTGAGGCCCTCTAGCTGCACAAAACAGCCAAACTGCATAATACTGCTGATTTTTCCGTTGTAGATGTCGCCCACAACAGGCTCCTCTGGTGGAGGCCGATCTACAGCTGTATCTCGCAAGCGAGAGTCTTTCTGGTTGTTGTTGTCTTCGTCTTTCTGAGGGCTCGGAGGATTGTCACTCCATCGACGTTTCCTTTTTGGTTTTGGGATTGTTTCTCCGTCAGGCGAACGACTGCGATGACCACCAACTTGTCTGTCTGTGTTTTGACCTCCGTCACTGTGCAACTTTTGGTCTGACCTGAGGAGCAAATGAGGAAAAGAGAAGTACAATTTTATACTTTAACGTTGATAATGTGCTGTGGTTATTAAGAGATAATTCAATGTTTTGTCAGTGAGAGCTTATTATTTTCAAAATGGCACAACACTTTATTAAATTACCCATTATCAGAGCTCGTTCCACAGAAGTTAGGCATGAGCATCTCCAGCTCCTTCATGGCGGCTGCTGCTACCTGCTCATCGCCTCTAGCTGTGTTGCGGGGTGGAATCTGATGAAGAAGTAACATTTAGTTACTATTTTCCAACTGAAAAACGGCTATATTTTACATTAGATGTTTGCTAGAAGCCATAAAGGTTTAAAGCACAATGCTCTACTTTTCTGTCATCATTTTTTTTTTTAAAGAAGCCATACCCTCCACACAGGATCATCTGGTTTACAAAGAGCGGGATATTTCTCTTTCAACTCGTCCTTTTCACCCCTTGGCTGATGAGCTTCAGTCATACGAGAGAAGAGAAGTGCTTCGTTAAACACGAAAGAGTTTAACATTACACTAATAGCTATTAAACATGAATACATAAAATAAATGTCTGTACCATTACTTGTAGATGGTGAAGACTGCATAGTTTGAATAAGTCGAAGTAAATTGGCAATAAAGGTTTCCTGAAATTAGAAAATGGGTTTAGTAAGAGCATATTATTTACAAACCCTAAAAAAAGTGTTTGTTTAACTGCAAACTTACTGTAAAGTCAGCTCCATTTTCACACAGAGCTGTCTTAAATTCCTCAAAGGTTGTGTGTTTTTCGGCGAGGTTGATGATAAATTCAGCTGTAAAACATAAACTGTTGTTTAGCTTTGATGCTAACTTGGGCAGTAACAACTGATTCTTATTCGCTATGGCAACTTATGAGCTAGCTCTGTAACAAGAAAACAATGCTGTTATGTAGCTTTACGTTACCCAGGTCTTTCTCGCATATTCCCAGATGATTCTCCAACTCCGTGCACACTTTTGACACCAAAGATAAATACTCAAGACGTTTTATTTCGTCTAAAGCAGCCATGTTTCATGTTTATTTAGACTTGAGCAGGAAGTGGTTCTTCTTCTTTAGTTTGAGCTCAAAAGACAGTTGCTGCCGCCTAGCGGCCGAGGCCGGTAACAGCACGTACAGTTGTTTGTTTGTAGCCTTTATTTAACCAGGTTAAAAAATCCCATTGAGATCAACGATCTCTTTTTCAAGGGAGACCTGCGGTACATTTAGTTACACATATAAAAACAAACAGAAAACAAAAGGACATCACAACATAATTACAGGGGTATACATTAGCAACCTATTTACATTTACAGGTATCCAATAACATTTCATCCAGCCGTGCTTTAAAACGATGCAAGGGAATCAAAATGCTCAGTTTCAATATTTTTTGCATGGTGTTCCAAGCCAGAGGAGCAGCGCACATAAAAGCTTTAGTACCTAAAACAGTCCTAGCACTTGGCACATGTAATAAAAACACATCCTGGGATCTCAGGCAATAGCTACTTGCCACTCTCCGTGAGATCAAAGAGCATATATATATATAAGTCGGTAGTTTACCCAGCATGGCTTTATATATGAATATGTACCAATGACTGAGCCTCCGACCAGTAAGTGAAGGCAGACCTGCCTTGGCATACAGGGTACAGTGATGAGTAAGTACTTTACAGTTAGTAACAAATCTCAGAGCACTGTGATAGGCGGCATCTAACCTTTCCAGGCAATGGGCAGGTGCATTCATATAGATCAAATCACCATAGTCTAGCACAGGTAAAAAGGTCACAGTGACTAGCCTTTTCCTGGCTTCAAAAGAGAAACAGGACTTGTTTCTGAAAAAGAAACCTAGTCTAACCCTCAGCTTTTTAAGCAGATTAGTGACCTGCAGTTTAAAAGTAAGACAATCATCAAGCCAGATACCAAGGTATTTATAACAGCTAACCACTTGGAGTACTTGTCCTTGCATAGTCACAATATCCAAAGCAGTCTCTGGAGTCTTTTTAGCTTTAGAAAAGAGCATTACCTTGGTTTTCTCAACATTTAAAAGAAGCTTTAGTTCAGAGAGCTGAGTCTGAATAATGTTAAAAACAGCCTGTAATGTAACAACCGCCTCCTTAATGGAGGGACCTGCACAGTACATCACGGTGTCATCCGCATAAAAATGCAAAGTAGCTTCATCCACATTTTCACCTAAACTATTGATGTATATGGAGAATAAAAGTGGACCTAAAACAGAACCTTGAGGAACACCATTAGCAATGTTCAACCACTCAGAAGACAGCCCATCAAAGTGAACACATTGGGACCTTTCAGAGAGGTAGTTCACAAACCACCCCACTGCATGGCTGGATAAGCCAATACTGAGTAGCCTCTGCTTTAAGATGCGATGATCGACGGTATCAAACGCTTTGGAAAGGTCAATAAATAGAGCTGCACAACTCTGCTTTTTATCTAAAATACTTGTAATGTCATTCACCACTTTCATTGTGGCAGTGATGGTGCTATGTTGCTTTCTGAAACCTGACTGATGTTTAGACAGGATGTCATTGTTACATAAAAAACTCCTTTACCTGTTCACTCACTAGGCGTTCAAGAACCTTAGCCAGAACTGACAATTTCGAGATTGGCCTATTTAAAACAGTTGCCTCCCCTCCTTTTAGTAGTGGCAGGACATACGCTGACTTCCATACTTTAGGAATTGTGTTTGTGCTGAGGAGTTAACAGTACAAGTACATTGTTGATGTACTTTATTGTGTTTCAGTTTTTATACGTCCACTCCACAAAATGTATTTCATTAGTTACTAGTGACCTTACAGATTCAGATTTTTAATATAAATATAAACCAACGATTATATATTGAGATGTATTATGCAGTGGCTCAGTCAGTAGGGGCTTGGACTGTGAGCCGTAGGGTCCCCGACCAGACCTAAATATGGAGTGTGGACTGCTACTTGGAGAGGTCCCAGTCCACCTCCTGGGCCCTGCCGTGGTGCCCTTGAGCAAGGCACCGGACAACCCCCCGGACCCCACTCCCATTGCTCCCCGGGTGCTTTACAATAGCTGCCCACTGCTCCTAGTACTAGATTCCTGGTATTAGGATGGGTTAAATGCAGAGAACAAATTTCACTGTGTGCTCTGCATGTGTGAACATTAAAGAGGGTTACATCCCTCCGATTCTATTCTATGTAAATAAATATAAACAACGTTATAAAATAAATCTAAAGAGTTCACATTTAATAGGGATGTTTACACATTTGCATCAGTAATTATGGTCAAATTATATAATATATAGGGCTGTCAGTCGATTAAAATATTTAATCGCGATTAATCGCATGATTGTCCATAGTTAATCGCGATTAATCGCACATTAATCGCACATTTTTTATCTGTTCTAAATGTACCTTAGAGGGATATTTTTCAAGTTTTGAATACTCTTATCAACATATGAGTGGACAACTATGCTTTATATGTTTCTTTATTATCATTTGAACAATGACAAATATTCTCATGAATATTAAACACAACCTCTGAACATTACAAATATTCGCCTCAATTCAACCTGGAACCTCTCATACAATAATACAAGTGTGTGTGTGTGTGTGTGTGTGTGGACTGTGATGGATCGTTGGCGCTATGTGCGGCTCATGGTATATATGCTCGAACGGGAGCTGCCTGGACGCTGCAATCATGTTGCGCGCACTATGCTGAGTGTGCTGACTTTTCGTACAATGTCCCACTGTCTGGCTACCTGCATAAAGTCAAGTGCTCGGCGCAGTTGTCGGCGAAATGTCGCTCCTCTGTTTTCATTGAAACAGCTCCATTAGCGCAGCTAGCTAGCACCAGATGCTAACAACAACACGTAAGGTGTGCCTCGCTCGCGAGTCGCGCCACACATACACACACCCTCCCGGTCCTCCCGATGGCCAGTCCGGGCCTGCCGGTGAGCGTGGAAGTGTGGTCTGCAACAAGCGGGCAGCAGGAGCGGGGCTGTCAGCATCAGCTTGTAGATGGTATTTTAAACTCGATGCGCTCTGAAACTACGGGTCGGCCGAGGACAAAAAATACACATGCGTTAATCGCGTTAAAATAATTAGTGGCGTTAATTTTTTTTTGCGTTAACGCGTTATTAACGCGTTAACTTGACAGCCCTAATAATATATTATTCTGAAATGGGCCATTCAGTTTAATGAGAAATGTGGTGCTTTTAAGTATACTTTGATGCTTATACTATTGTGATAAACACTGAGTACTTCCCCCACTGCACTCTACTTGAGTCTTCATACTTTACTCATGTATTTCTATTGCAGGCTACTGTATTTATGTCCCTCTAATATCAGAGGCTGATATCGCACTTTACTAATTAGAGGGAAACGGTACAAAAAAAACGAAAAGGAAACTTATTCTCTTTCGACCAACATTAAAATGCATTTTACACATTTGGGCATCAATATATACAACCCAAACAGGGACCACATGGATGCGAAGAATGCTTCAAATATAGCTATATTGTTGGCGTTTAGCTTATAATACTCCGCAACGCTTTAGTTGATTAACATTTCTGAATCGTCTTTTCAGTATTAAATAATTTTGATATTGTTATAATTTGACCTAAGAGCGATCCGGACACTTTTCCTTCTATAAATACACAAATGTCAAAGTTCAGTTGGTAATGCATGGCAATATTTGAATCATAAAATATCCCCATTTAGAGTAAAAGTTCACAAAAAATATAGTAGGGTTGAAAAAAATGTTTGCATTTTAATGGACACATTTTCAAGTTACAGTTGCAAGTATAGCAAAGCAACACCTCAGATACAGACAAGTGGGATACAATTGTCCAAGGTTAAGTACAAAATCTATCTAACATTTACTCAGTTCAATCCTTTTGGCCTGGAAAATATTTACTAGGGAAACAAAAAGTTTCTATTACTATTTGTTTAGGTCGAATTAAGGCATGACGTTATGCCATAACAATTTACTCTGTCAAAAATAAATAGTCCACTGTTTTGCAGAATCTCCCCATAAATGATGAACTTTAAAACCACTTACTAACAGGACAGATATGGATGTTATTTAAGTTCCAGTATTAGTGCTAAGAGAAGTAAATAACTCCAACTTTCCTAAAATGATGAAACCCCCACCCAAGCAGGTTATTCTAGGACCTTCTGAGAGAAGATGTACAATGTGTACGCATGTAAAAGTAGGAGTGAATACACAGCTTGAAGCAGTGATGATAAAACATCTACCACCAGGGACTGGTCGACACATCTGACCTTGTCATAAAAACATTTTAGTTTTCTGTCACACACTAACGGCGCCTAAAGGCTCGGGAGATTCTCCAAGCGTTGGGTTCCTCGTAGCGGTTGTACAGAGGCTCGAGGCGCTGTTGTTTCTTCTGCTTGCTGAGGCGCGTGGGATCTGACACTTTGAAGAAGGCTGGAGAAAACTCCACCAGCCAGCGGGGGTCGATGGTGGTCACCTCCCGCATGTACTCCTTGGTGGTCAGCACCAACTCATGGTACACAACCCTGAGGATAACAGAGGCAAGACGTCACATGGCCGTTTTCACATTTGGAAATACATTTAAAAAAATATGTATTTATTTCTTGCGTGACTAATACAAAAAGTTGATTCTTTTTTTGTCTTACCACTCAGGCTGGCGGTTGAACAGAGCACTGGAGGGGTGGATGTAAACAACTTGTTGGTCTATAAGGGTGCGGTAACCCTCCTGAGGATCCTTTTTGGCGGCGTTCCTGAAGAAGCCACTGCAGATGGCTTTCTGGACGCGGACTGTGGCTTTACCACAAGATACCACGTCCAGTTTATGTCTGAGGAGGGGAGAGCATGTTGGAGGTTCATGAGAAACAAGAGAGATTTTTTATCTAGTTTAGATTGTTCTTTTAGTTGAGATTTGTGTCCTTAGTTAGTGTAATATTTACTACAGATAGTGGATAAGCCCCTGGTAGTAGACAGAAGTACCAGCACAAAAGCTAAGTAATGTACTGCTGCGGATGGGGCAGCAGAGAAATGTCTATTAGCCACCTAAAAAATGTATTAAATAAAAGTGTGCGCTATATACAGCCCTTTCTGACAAGGAACAGAAGCCAATGTTTTTGCCCTCTTCAAAGCCACACAACTACTCTGACAAAAACTGTTATTTTTACTTGCAGAACACGGGAGTTATTGGTCCACTGAAATCGCTTACTTTGTGTTATTGTGTGGCTTTGGTGTATTTAAAAAGTGTAAGTAAAGGTTTCAACAAAGTCAAACATTAACATGTACAGAATAATCAGCTATAGCCAGCAACTCTTTTGATGTGCAAGGTCAAATTACAATTGTCAACAGTGTCTGGTGCCTTTGAAGAGAGAAAAGATAACGGCTTGAGTTACCCATTGCAAAGGTACATCAGAAATTAATTCTAAATATAGCCCTAATTTTTTTTAGGAGCAAAAATGTGCTGCTACCCCCCCACGTCTACAGTGGAACATTGCCAGGCTTCCCTGACAGTACTCATGTCTGTTCGTCCCGATTTTGGACATGAAAACCCCAAAACGTTCCTTTGATGATATTGAAGATTCACGTGTTAGCATGTATAGTGGTTCTACCAGTACTTCATACCTGTCCATGATACCCAGCATCTGCTTGCGGATGTCCTGGCCTCTGCGCAGGGAGCGAGCCTGGATGAAGTTCTCATAACACCAGGGGTTGGAGAACTTGTTGTTCTTCCAGGAGTTGTAGACAGCCAGCAGGGTCAGGTGGTCTCCCTCAGGCTGGTGAAACTTCGCCTTCTTCTGGTCAGCCAAGGCCTGCTTGTCCTTTAACGGATGAAACAGAGATACACTAAGTTATACATGATAAACATCAAGCTGTAGAGCATATATATTCTGTTTTAATATCCATTTACTATTTACAGGGTTCCTGCAGGTTTCCTCAAATGTAAGACTTTTTAAGACCACTTTGTAAGTAATTATGGGACGTATTTCTTCTTTCATAGCAATTTTCCTTCATACTTTCTTGCTGTGAAATGGGTCTTAAATTCTATTCAAAGTAAATGTATTCATGTTCAACATAAGAACGATGACTGAACATAACAGTACACTGAACTGTGTTAGCGTGTTAGACAAAAAAGTGTGTGTGTCTGTGTATGTGTATGTGTGTGGGTGTGTGTGTGTGAGTGAGTGACAAGAGCTATATTCAGAGCTCTGCTGCCTTCATGCTGTTGTATGATTGGCGTTTAGCTACGGTATTTAGCGTCCACAGCACCTCCGCTTTTAGGGTTGACGTAGACCCAAACGTCACCCGGAGGTCCCCCGATGTTGTTGTGGGAGCTGATGCACTAGCTAACGCTGCACTAGCTAACGCTGCACTTGCTAACGCTGCACTTGCTAACGCTGCACTTGCTAACGCTGCACTTGCTAACGCTGCACTAGCTAACGCTGCACTAGCTAACGCTGCACTAGCTAACGCTGCACTAGCTAACGCTGCACTAGCTAACGCTGCACTAGCTAACGCTGCACTAGCAAAAAAAAAAAGCTAATTTATTTTGCAAAAGGTGCAGCGGGCTTCAAACACGTTCCCCTCCACTGGTTTCAACCAAGCACTAAATTCGATGTTTTCCAACCAAATACGGTTGAACTTAAACTTCCCCATATTTATTTATAAGTAGATTTGAAGATACCAAGGTTTCTGACTGCCGCTAGCTGAAGCTTGGTTGGTTGCTAGGTTACTAGCTGGGTGTTCTCCGATAAGGGGCCGGGGGAAACAAAGTTAGTGATTACTGGTTCCATGTTGATTTATTTCAATACAAATTGTTGGGGGGAACTGAAAGGCTATTACTGTACTGGTTACTTTGCAGCCCGGACATTTCCCCCAAAACACATTTAGACGCGATCACAACACAGAAGTACCTTTCAAATCCGATCATTTTTAAAGACCTTCTAAATCATATTTAATACCTTCCTTCTTTTTTTGCTCATATTTAAGACTTTTTAAGGCCTTAAATTCTGATTATCAAATGTAAGACTTTTTAAGACCCCGCGGGAACCCTGTATTTATGAGAACCAGGGCCTTCATAAGAAACCTTCCGACACAGGTTAAATGATTTTATTTAAGCCAAAGACATACCTTAGGTCTGTAGAAGACGTTCTGCACAGACAGCATGGAGACGATGGTGAGCATCTCTTCACTGCAGCCCAGATGGACGGACATGATCAACATCTTACACAGCATGGGCTCCAGAGGAAACTCCGCCATCTAGAAGACAGATGCAGTACTAAAAATTAAATGAAGGGCAAAATAGACTGCACACTGATGCGTTATGTGTTTATTCAAACTACAAAGTGCACAAATGTGATTCGATGAAGATTTATTCTTTTCATCTTGGCAGCTGATGAAGCCACCAAGTAAAAGCATCCCTCACCCGTCTCCCCAGGCGTGTGAGTAGGCCTTCGTCATCCAGCGCTCCCAGAGTGTACAGCTGCTCCATGGCTGTGATCAGAGTCTCCATGGGAGGAGCGTCCATGAAGTCAAAGGACAGGAGGTCGTTGATGCCCATGGCCTGGAGAGGAAATATAAATACAAGAAGAGGGAAAACACAAATGTATTATGTTTTCGCTTTTAATTAAAACCTTAAGGGCTGAGAAAGTTGAAATGTGGTTTTTGAAGGCTGTTGCTTCACCAACTTGTATAAAAAAAAAGAGATATGCGTATTTTCTTTGATGAACACTTAAAACCATGATTACATAGATAAATGTTGAGGATGTGGAACATTTAATTTAGGAACCCAAAAAGTGGGAGTGACTTTATTTTCAAGTTAACTTCTGGCTTTACACAATATGCCCTGCTACATCCCTACTAAAGTGTTGCTTCACTGTTTATTAAAATCGATTCCATAAACACTTACATACATAATAAATGAAATGTGTAATATGATCAATGACACAATAAATGAAATACATTTAGAAAAAGTAAATTAAAAGAATGACCAGCTTCTAACCAGTGGAAGGAAAAGTAGTCAAACATTTATTTAAAATAAAAGGCAGTAAACTAAAAAAATAAACTTATTTTCCATCTCCAAGACTACACAAAGATTACATTTTGTTTAGGGTTCAAAGTAAGAATAACATGTTGGCTGCAGAATGACTGCTTACCTTCAGAGAGAGCACAGTACTGGCCAAGTTGGTTCTCTGGATCTCCGGCACGTTGGTGGTCAGCATCTCGTCCCTGTAGGCCCTCTCAGTGTAGAGCCTGTAGGTCTTCCCGGGGCCCGTCCTGCCGGCTCGACCCGCCCTCTGCTTGGCCTGCGCCTGGAAAATACATTTTTTAAAAAACAATTCAGTAAGATCGCCAATTGCTTCAATTACATTTGCTGAATAGCAGAACACATTTAGCTTTCCTCCCCAGCAATATCAAGTACATCATAGATATATATTGTCACCTGTGAGATGGGTGTCACCACCAGCTGGTCGATGCCGGTCTTTGAGTTGTACACTTTCTGCTTCACAAAGCCAGGATCCACCACGTAGTAGATTCCATCGATGGTCAGAGATGTCTCTGCAATGTTTGTGGCAATGACCACCTAAGGGGAGACAAAAGGATTATTCCACATTCTGGGAAAACACAGAAAGTAGCACATAAGATAGTAGATCCAAAATTCCAATGCGTTTTTAAATGTTACTGTTGAATAAAAGACACCTTTCTGCTGCCGGGGGGTGCGGGGTCAAAGATCCTGGTCTGCATCTCACTGGGCAGGGCAGAATAAACTGGCAGAATGATCAGTTCAGGAACATCAGGACCTAGGGACTTCATTCTCTCGTACAGGATCTCACAAGCAGTGTCGATCTCTTCCTGTCCCGTCAGAAACACCAGGACGTCACCTGGATAAAGAACAGGGAGAAAGTTGGATTATGACATGGACTAGGTCTACCTGGTTTAAAGAACATGTACGTTTTAAAGATTTTTTAAAATCATACCTGGAGGTTCAGTCAGATGGATCTGCATGACAGTGATGAGACTGGCATCCAGGTAGTCCGTCTCAGGCTCTTTAGTGTAGAGAACCTCCACTGGGTAAGTTCTTCCTGGGATGGTGAAGATGGGCGCTTCATAGAAATACTGAGAGAACTTCACGGCGTCCAGTGTGGCTGATGTTACGATCAGCTTCATGTCTGTGCGTTTCATTACAGTCTGAGAAGGACAAGAAACACTCAGCATCTTCTTTACTTACGTCTACCCCAAAGTACCCCAAACGTCTCTATTCTCATGTGGCTTACCTTCTTGAGCAAACCAAAAAGCACATCAGTGTGGATTGTCCTCTCGTGAGCTTCGTCCAACATGATGATGGCGTACTGGCCCAGCTCAGAATCGATGAGACACTCTCTCAGCAGCATACCGTCCGTCATGTACTTGATGACCGTCTCAGGGCTGGTGCAGTCCTCGAAACGGATGGTGTAACCTACCTGGAACAAAAGAAGAATTATATTAGCCTCGTTTAGATTCATTTAACAAATATAAAATATAGGTCAATGCTGCTTTTATTATATTCAAAGCTTCATTTGAGATTGAATGTCTGTCATCAAAATTCACCTAAAACCTTTTTTTTTATTTGAATAAATGAATATGAAAGAGGCTCGATAGTGTGTAGATACTTTAAGGACTAAAAGTAATTAACTGTAATAGTGCTAGAGCCTTTATTGATGGTGCTTGTAAGATTGTTGCTACATTAATATAAATATGTATTTACCAAACACTACATACAAAAACGAGTTAAAGGTAGGGTAGGTAAGAATGGAGAAACCAGCTCGAGTGCGCTAGAATTTGAAAGTACACAACTGGAAAAAATCTGCCCCTTCCTTCAGACTTCCTTACAGAGCCCCTCCTCCAACACACACAAACGCGCACATGACCAATGAGGGCACGAGAAACGTTGGTGCACGAGATGGAAGGCTGACAGGCAGGTAGGCCATCCAGTTACTTTAGCCGGGCCGTGCTTTTTACAGCACCACGGCTTCCACAGATGACATTTTTTTATGTATTTATTGTCAAAGCATTTAATATATTCATTGCTATCGGGATGTTAAGAGCATTCCATGGAATATAACAAAAATGTAAGCACAATTTTTTTTAATCAACGAAGCCTCAAATTATTCGGTTCAGCCATGCAAATAAAAAATGCTATCAGCATAATTACCAAATAACACAAAGAAATGTAGGATCACTGACCTCTTGTCCTAGACAGCAGCCATACTCCTCAGAGACCCTCTTGGCCACGGACATGGCGGCCACACGACGGGGCTGTGTGCAGCCGATCTTCCCCCTGGTGGTGTAGCCGGCCTCCGCCAGGTACTGAGTGATCTGCGTGGTCTTACCGGACCCTGTCTCTCCAATCACAATCAGGATCTGGTTGTCATGAACAGCCTGTGGCAGATTTTTTTAAAAGCAGTACATTTTAAAAGCTAGCCCTTGAATTGCTGTTATCCCTTTCCCCCGACATTTGATATTGAGAAAAGAACACACATTTCTGTAGGGATTGTTCACAGTTCAGCAGCAAATCAAACTAAATTAAAGATATCTGCTAATATGCATTTAGCAGATGTTTCCATTCAACACTTGTCAAAGTATGAACGTACTTGAGCATCAACATCTGCTTGATAAATGACAACCACATTTTCAACAGAACCTAAATCAGTCTGAATTATGAACTCCCATGTGAATCTTTCAATTACATTTTGGAAAAGTCTCCCTTTAGGTTTATATTTTAAGACTAGGACCAACCTGAATGAGCTGCTCCTTCAGCTTGTAGATGGGCAGACTCTCCCTCTGCTCCAGGATGGACATCGCGGTCTTCTTACCATAGGAGGCCTTGTTGCCTCCAAAGGCATGCTTCTTCCACTCTGGGATGTCGTTAGGCATCATGCCAATACCTCTCATGTTAGCTGCAATCTGCCTGCCGTCAACTGGGAAAGAGGAACATAATTGTGATTGATAATGATGAAAACTTGTTGGTTTGTTGTAAGTGAAAAGGATAAGCGGTCATATCAAGGGTGTGTACCAATTTATACACTGATGTTTTTGTATCACTTTTGCGCCTGGCGACCATTTACTTCGTCGCCTTCTTTGTTCACAGGAGGCATGCAAGAATAACTTTAACACTGTAGCTACATCACTGCCAGATCTGCATGGTTATGGCAGGAAAATGCCCACTATTGGAAACAGTGTGGACCACCTGGGGCCATGGAGGGGATACAAGGACCACGAAGCATGGCATGATCATTCCATCCGGCCAGATATGGGTCTGCAGGAAGCCAGATAGCATCTCCAGCCCTGGCAGGCCTGAGGGCTGCTGCCTGCCATGAGGCAACGTCTCATTTCTGACACAGACCGGGCTGGGGTTTTAATAAAGAGGGGCAAAGATAAAACTGAAGACATTTCTTTTATCTTTGCTTTTAACACACTCAGATATTGTTTGGATATAAATAAAAACTTAAATAGATCTAAAGACAGAGGTTAAAATTATCAATATGCTAATCTCAAGCTGTTTTTTTTATTGCATACACTGTTTGATGAATCACACTTCAGCCTCAACATCTGTGAGGTAGAAATAACTTAATGTGCACATCTAATGGATTTCTTACCGTCTGGCAGCGGGTCTACCCAATGTTTATTCAGCCCCATGGGGATGGAGTCCATCTCTGCCTCCCGCGCCGCCTGCTTCAGCTCCCGCCTCTCCTTAGCCAGAGCGCTCTGCATCATGGCCGCTTGAGACAGAGAGCCATCTGGATTCTACGGGGGGAGGGAAACAATTTCATTTGGTTAAGCCATCAAAGCTATGTACATTTAAAGTCACTGCAAATGTTGCTGTTTTAAAAGCTCACACGTCCGATAAATGACGCTGAACAGTAAAAAGCAGGTCTAAATGTAAGGCCCCGTTTACACGGAGACGGAACGGGTGTTATCCGCTACAGTTCTCCATCGTATGGACGGTTCGTTCACACAGCGGCGTGCGTTGAAAGCTTCACCATTCACTTTGAATGGGGCGACGTCACTTTTCGCTGCATTGTGGGAAGCGAAGCGGAGCTTTGCTGGCGTGGCTCGCTGCAAAAGTTGAGCAATGTTCAACTTTTGAAGCCTCTGCAGAAGCGTCAGCCAATCGAATCATATGCCAGTACAAGCTCTAGCCAATCAAACCGCTGCTCGTGTGTCAGGGGCGGGAGATTCATGTGATTGGTTGTTGGTCGAATTTCAGACACGCCCGCCGGCAAGCTTCAACGCACGCCGCTGTGTGGACGGGCCGTAACAGTCTGATCTCTGTGTATTTAGCAAGACGTGTGATAATATGTTCTGCATAGGCCGTACCTTGACAATCTTGACAGGGCTCATGTCCATGCTCTGCTTGGTGTGTCCCCTCAGGAATGGGGGTTCTTCTTCAACCAGCTCAATTTCCAAATCTTCATCTGAATGGCAGAGAACAAGGTCAATGTAAGAGGAGTCAACTCATCAAAAGTTATTATTCATAAAGTTAAATAGAGGTCTGGGAGTGTGCATCCATGCTAGTCTCCGAGAGGCTTTCCTTAGGCACAGTGATGCTATGAGCTAAACGATAACAGTGGCATGCTAACATTCTGAGGTATACCTTTATTTGTATTTAGTGTGTTAGCATGCCAACACAAAGCCCAATTGGGAATGGGAATATTATTAGTTTGGCAGGTAATTGGTCATAAACCAAAGTATTGGACGGATTAAAATGTGATTGGGGCTACATGAAAAGTTAAGGGATTATTTATTCTCTAGGTATCCCCAGTGTTTCTAACCAATTTAATGGAAATCCACCTAAGAGCGGTTAACATATTTAAATCCGGACCAAAGAGGTGGACAAACAATGCTAACGTTAATAACAGAGAATTCTAGATGATATACCCTGATCAAATATTTAAGAGGAAGCATGCACAATATTCATGTCAAAATCTTTTAAACTTTTGTACAGCTTCAAAAAGGCACTTAACAGTCATTTATTTTATACAAGATAAGCCCCGTTTGTTTTCTTTAAATAAAAAAAAAACACATTTAAAAAAGGATGTTTCTAATGTGTTGGATAAAAAAACAAGAACTTCCTTACCCTCTTCATCATCAACTTTAGGAAGAATTCCTGTCTCGTCATCAAAATCAGGGAACTCTTCTTTAGACAAGACATTGGCAGCAATCATCTGAGAGCAAAAAACAAGAACAATTATTAGCATGTGATGAAAATGAGCAAAGGTTCAGGTTATTTTCAGCTCCTTTAACTTGGTGTGTGCAGAAATCCTTAGTGTATAGAGCCACCTGTTTGATCTCCCACTTCTCCGGGTCAGAGATCTTGGTGAGCCTCTTGCGCTCCAGGGTGTCGTCCTGCTCCATTTCGGGGACGTGGCCCAGGTTCAGGTTCAGGTTGCTCGGCCGGTCGGGGTTCCTCATTGAGATCTCATCCCCTCCATCAGGGCCCACATTCCTCCTCCTGTTGGGGTTCAGGTCTTCTCCTGTCTCCTGGTCCACATCCTGGCAAAAAAGTAAAACATTAGGCTATTGACATAATGAAAATGCAGGGAGACACCAGTCCTGCCTGTGAGGAGATCCTCTGATGATAAAACATAATGATTCCCAATATCCTCTCCAGATATCTCATTTAAAAAAAAAAAACTATTCGGAGCGGCTTAATCGCTCATTTAAATGATAATGACTTTCTGGCTCCAACAATTACCTACTCTGACACAAATGCAATATCAGATTCAATTAAAAAACAAATCTATTAAGAAGCAATGCTGGTATCAAGATCTACATTTTCAAACACAAAGAAATCTAAACATTTGGGCTGTCAGTCGATTAAAATATTTAATCGCATGATGTCCATCGCAATCGCAAATTAATCGAACATTTTTTATCTGTTCTAAATGTACCTTAGAGGAATTTTTTCAAGTTTTTAATACTCTTATCAACATATGAGTGGACAAATATGCTTTATGCAAATGTTTGTTTATTATCATTGGAACAATGACAAATATTCTCCTGAATATTTTCAATATAACAACCTGGAACCTCTCTCTCTCTCTCTCTTACACTCTCTCCCAACCCCGTCTACTTCTTTGCACTGAGCCAGTTGCTCAAACAGACAAGCCTGTTTACAGTTGTCGGCGAAATGCCGCTCCTCTGTCTTCATCTTCAGTCAAAGCATGAGACTGAAGTTCCCACTGTGGGTCAAAATAATGTGATGTGCAGTCGACACGTTGGATGCGATCCGAATTATCTAACGCAGCCCCTCATCCTCCACAATGTTAAGCTGTAGCCACCCATTTAGCTATCGCTGTTGTTGTCCAGGCGTCTCCCTGGCAAACTTTCAAGCGTGGTCTGCCGCAAGCGAGCGGCAGGAGCGAGGCTGTCGGCATCAGCTGTGTGATTGGCTTGCTGTTTAAAACACCTTTTTTTGTATCCATATCTCTCGCTAGAATCTCCCACCATCCAACTAACAACAACAACAACGTCAAGCCTTTGGACTCTGAAACTACGGGGCGGGCCGAGGACAAATACACATGCGTTAATCGCACGTTAAAATAATTAGTGGCGTGAAGAAAAAAATGTGTGTTAACTTGACAGCCCTACTAAAAATATTCATTTAGTATTCTCCAGACACACAGTTCAATCCATTTATCCTACCTGTGCTTACGATTAACAGATTTCAGTTTCATAATTTGTGGTGCGTTCTTCTTACCTTCATACTAAGGCTGGTCTTGGAGCCGGTGAATGAGAGCACCTTGATCTTGACTCTTTGGCCTTTGCTGACAACATCAGCAACGTTGGCCACACGGCCCTCTCGGCGCAGCTCGGAGATATGGACCAAACCCTCCCATCGTTTCCTGCATACAAGGAAACACATGATTGACTTTAATAGAAGAATTTACAGATTGAAATATGCAGCAGCTTCCTGATATCTTATGGTAGATCTTACATCATGGAACGCATATGCAAACAGAGCACAGATCTGAGCAGTTGCAATATATTTACAGAATTAATTGCAGGGAGGTAGCCAGTAAATTGAGCTGCCACCTGAGATTAAAAAGTCAATGTTGCACTCTGGAGACTTTATACTAACCTTAGTCCCTCCAGCTGAACAAAGCATCCAAACTGCATGATACTGGTGATTTTGCCGTTGTATATGTCACCGACAGAAGGCTCCTCAGGTGGTGGGCGGTCCACGTGTTTGTCTTGCCAGCGCTCAGAGTCTTTGTCTTTGTCTTTGTCTTGGTCTTTCTTGGGACTAGGTGAGCGCTCAGACCTGCGGACAGATTTGTCTCTTCTTTTTCCACGATCTCCATCTCTATCTCGGTGGCGATCGTGGTCTCTGGAGTGCGACCTGGACCTTGAGCGATGCCGTCTCTTCCTGTCCCGATCCCGGTCTCTGTCGTGATCCCGGTCTCTGTCGTGATCCCGGTCTCTGTCGTGATCCCGGTCTCTGTCGTGATCCCGGTCTCTGTCTCTGTGTCTGTCCCGGTCTCTGCTTCTGCTGCGACTTCGGCTTTGGCGTCTGCTCTTATCTGACCTGCAAAACAAAGTATGAAATGTTAAAAAAAATAGAGATCACAAGCCACTATAACATGTCATTAAAAAGTTGAAATCACACGATGAATGCGATAGTATAGATGGTGGATGTTGCGTTTTGTTTTCTAGACTTAAAGCAACATGTACAATCTCCATTTCAAAACATTTCACACTTCCAAATGTGACCCGTGTCCTCGGTCGTCTCACCTGCTCTTGCTGCTTTTGGTGTCTGTTCCACTCACACTGGGCATAAACATCTCCAGCTCTTTCATGACATCAGCAGCTACTTTCACATCATCTTCGTCAAGTATCTTCTAAGAAAGTCAATTAAACAAAAAACAATTAGCATCACAGAGGCATTACATTTCACCAGTTTACATATTTTTTCAGTTTTCCATTGTAATTAATTGTATTTACAGTTAATGGCATATAGGCGGTGAACACACACACGGCAGAATAGTGTGATGTTCAGTCGTTTATAATTATAAACATGTTGCACAGCATAAATAGTAATAGTGGGATTACAAATCAAAAAGTTATACCTCGTAAAATAATGTGTTGGAGTAACGTACCTTTACCACTGGCTCATTTGCTCTACACAACGCAGGAAACAGCTCTTTCAGCTTGTCCTTTTCTGTCTTCGGCTTGGCCAAAGCTTCAGTTGCTGAAAATTAAACGTTATTCATTAATTGTATTGTGGATTATAGGCAAGGGAGAAATACATAAAGGTTTTTCAATATAGCATTGTACAAGGGAAGTACACACATGTAGCTATATATTAAAACAATGTGAACAAGATGTAAGTGAATGATACACATTATTCTTGATTAGATGGTATAAATAAATGTACCCCTATTTGGCAGAGAAACTATTACCTTACACGGACTATTTGACTTTGTTATGTGTATGTTTACTAAAATGTTGCTTTTTCGAGGTCAGTTGATGTATTTGACTACAGCAAATTGATACATCAGCTATTGAATATAAATATTGGCAACTTTGTTCAGCTTGTTGCCAACGTGTAATGTATTGCATGTCAGGTGTGGACGTCAGGAAGATTTGGGTATCCTTTAAGAAAAAAAGAATAGATTACATAACCTCACCTTTACTCATAGATGCTTTCGATGGAGGACGCATTGTCTGGATGAGCCTGAGCAAATTACCGATGAGAGAATCCTACAATGAACACAACAAAAACGGGAACCAACCCGATTAGTTACCACGTACAAGTTGGCTAGCGCTGGATATCTATGTTAGCTTACAACGTGTAATGACTGTTAGCTTAACTTACTGTGAATTCGGCTCCATTTTGGAGCAAAAGAGCTTTAAAGCCATCGAACACCGGCTGTTTTTCAGCAAGGTCGATGACAAATTCAGCTGCGAAAAAATGACAACAATTGACAAATGAACAAGTTAACAGTGAAGATAGCCAACTCCACTAAAAGTAAATTATCACAATGGTAGTTTGCTGCTAAAAGCCCACTTCAAGTTACGGTTTACGTGGCAAGAGTCCCGAACCTATAAACGAATATTGGAATACAAGCCAGTGTACAGTTTAATGACAACAAGGTTGCTAGCTAACAACAGCTAGCTAGTTAGCGTCAGGTAGCTAGTGGGTTAGCGGGAATAGTTCGTTTGGAGCCCAAAATACTCACCTAAATCTTTATCACTTATCCCCAAATGGTTGTCAAGCTCCGTGCAGACCTTGGACACCAACGACAAATATTCAAGCTGCGAAAGCTCGTCAACTCCCCCGTCTGCCATTCTCCACGAGTCTTGTTTTGTTCAGAGTGGGAAGACGCCAGCAGACATATTGGAACTGGGCAACTTCCACTTCCGTCTGCTTTTACGTCAAGTACGTAGGGGTTGCCAGTTATGCTCCATTATCCCTTACTTGCCGCACGATGGCGCTAACATTCCTAACAATGAGCATTATCACCACTAGGGATGTCACGTGTAGGGTGTTTACTATGAAACATCAATGTGTCATTTGTGTTTTGGCAGCTGCAGTAAATATGTGTTTTATGAGGTTCAACACAAAGTGAAATAAAAATCAGTGTGTTTTCTTCTTCTTATTATGCTCAAGGGCCTTGTATTCTGAATTGTACAAGGCTTTTACCTAACAAATGTAATAATTTATGTTATGTTCTGAAGGTCTACAGATCCACCACAACCCTTGGGATGCATAGCACACGCTCATTTTAGTCTAGCGTATCCTTATTACCTCATTTTTTTATAGTGCAATGAAGATTTTATTGAAGATATTTTAGACGTTTAAAAAGTATGTTGCTAATTCCATTTTCTTATTTTTAATTGTTCATATCTGATTGTTAGCTAGTGGAATTGAAAAACTCTTCATGTTAAAGTCTCAAGTCCACAAAAGTCCAAAGTCAAGCACCACAACAAGTCCCAAGTCCTAAAACAGTCATTATGCAATATTCACCAATTTTGACCATCACCTGATGGTGATGGTCAATTGAGGCACAATTGTGCCTCAATATGCCGACCTCACTAATCTCCGCAACCAGTCTTCAAATTCTTCCCGGAAGTGTGAAAGCTGCAATAGCCCCAAACGGCATTATGCCCATGGTTGAGGAGAAGATTTTCAACAATCACATCTGGGTGTAATTTTCAGGAGTCCACATACTTTGGGCCATGTAGCGTATATCAAATTCTTACTAAGCAGACACAAGATAAAAAGTTTTGAGGGGGAAAAAAATTAACGAATGATAAGACATACTGTATGTTTTCCACCGAGCACAGTAGTATAGCCATAAATCAAACCATGCAATCTGGAACTCTTAGCTCTGGCTCCCAATACGACTGTATCCGTGTTTCTATCTTGGCCGGTATACAAAAAGTCATTGCGAACAGGCATGATTCATGGTTTTGCACTCGCTAAGAGGTTTTTGACTCATGGAGACTTGGAAGTCTTCTACTGTGGGAGAGGTGTGTACCCGTAAATCAATACTGTATGTTGTACCACTTTGTATGGGCTGTCAGGGTCATTGTAATGTATTGTGTAAGGTGTATGGTGTTTATGCTGTTGGTATGCAGGCCAGAACAGGGAGGACATCCTTCCTCCCCTCATCCTGGGATGACCCTCTCTCTACTGTAGCTCCCAGCACATCCTCATAATCTAATCATACGACACGCACTGTCCTCTGTCTGCTCACTCTACATATTGCCCTCTGTCAGTGTCTAGTCGGCGCTTTCCTCTTTAGACCCCTAGCTCTAATCTCCTTTTCAAATGTAATCTTCATTACCCAGCCATAAACATGCCACTTACAGTGTGTACTGTAGCAGGCTACTGCTTAATTCCTGATCTAGAAAACCCTTAGAATATCTTGCATGACTTCACGCTCTCGCAACCTCCAAAGAAGGAGTTAACCTACTGTATGAGATTATGTCTGCAAGTGTCATGCTACAGTATGTTACACTAGATAAGCACTGAACTCCTGTAATCTCTTGTAATTATTTTTGCTTCACCTGCTTGTCATTTCTCACATTCCCACTCATGCATCTTTGAAAGGTGTATGTCTACCTCTGTTGACTCAGACAGTAATGGACTATCTTAAAGAAGCGTACATCCCATGAGGAGGCTTTACTCGGAAGTCCCACATGATATTTTCTAAGTACATGTATTTTTCATCTTCCAAGTATTTCTCCCCCTTGCGCTGTCAAGAATACATCCTGGAACTATTTAGCTGTTTGACATTTATGTTTTCCTACCAGTAAAGAATTTGTTTTTGTTCTTCTTCTGTCAAGATTCATGTGACAAAAGGGTAACACTTTATATTAAGGTACACAAATTAACCATTAACCATTAGTTGTTAATTAACATGCATATTAGCAGTATATTGGCTCTTTATTAGTCATTATAAAACACCTATGAATGCCTTATTCTACATGACCATATTCTACAAGTATAAGCCATTAGTTGAGAGTTATTCCTCAATAACCCTCTAATTAATGCTTATTTATTGCAAGTAAGGACGTTGTTGTACATGAGTTTTGGTCTTAATATGCTCTGCTCAATATGGGCCTAATAAGGCAGTAATACCACAAGAATAGTAATTCTCCCATAATAACACTTAACAAATATGATCTATTCGTAGGTAACATGACATGAAACTATAAGTGTTAATTGTGTCTAAATAACTCAAAATTAGGTATTTATATCTAAGAATATGTTTTGGGGTATTGACAGTTCAGCTACCAATAGCAAGGTGATATTGACCTGTATGTTTCATATTTGCACATTTATATTTTTGTAAAATGTGTACTGAAGGTTAGACAGGAAACCGGGTACAGGAAGTAGGAGAAAGTGAACTGAATAGCATGGCAGTAGACTACTACTAATGTAGATGTTTAAACTCAATGAGAAAATGCGTTAGCATTCGCGCTAGCGTTAGCCATACTAGCCTGTATACTATACATGCTTATTGCACAACTAGCATTAGCTATATTGACCTTGTTTACACTTAGCGGTCCTATGTGTTAATCTGTGTATGTTACACTTGCATGTATGAGATCATTAAGTGCCTTGTAACTTATTTTCTTATAGTTTCACTTATTATTTGCAGTCCACATGTCAGTGGACTGCAAATAAGTCAATAAAGGAGCATGGCTGCTCATTCCCTGGCTCTCAAAAGAGTTTGGCTGGCTGTTTTAATCTATGTTCATACTGAGACAGTACAACACATAGAGAGAACATGTACTTGTGTAAGTACATACAAGCAGGTCACACAGTATGATCACAAATACATAAAATCTGTTAAAAATCTGTTTTTATTAAAAAGTACAGGCTGCATACTGTATATGTGTTCTCAGCCTTGGAGAAACTTGACATGTTTTGGTATGTGTCTGAACCTCTCTTTAGTGGTTCATTAATAAAACAGATATTTCAACGTGTGCCTACTTTGTTCACGTCACTGCTTGGAAAAGTCTTAACAACCAATCCCATTGGCTATTCGTTCCTATGGGCTTGACTGTCTCCTTCTTTGACGTTCGGCTTGTCTTGTGTCCACTTCCTGCGGCTCTGCAGAGTAGACAGATACTCTCCTTTCCATCTCTTCCAAAAGGTGTCAGCAAGGCACTGAACTTGCTTCCATTGCTTTCCGAACAACTGAGCTGTATCGAAGTTTCCAGGAGGTGCTGAAACCGCACTCATTTTCTGAGTCAGGAGCATTGAGGGGGTTAGAACTGCAGGTGTATCTGGGTCAGTAGACACAGACACAAGGGGTCTTGTGTTGATGATCGCCATCACCTCTGCCATGAAAGTGCTCAGAACCTCATGTGTAAGACGTACTGGTCCCGTCTGAAGCAACATTGCATCCAGAATGCGCCTGGCTACTCCGATGAGCCGCTCCCAGGAACCGCCCATGTGGGAGGCATGAGGGGGGTTGAAAACCCAAGAGCATCCTTTCTCCTGGAGGTACTTCCTGATTAATGTGTCGTCTGTGTTAATCCTTAACTCTTTTGAAGCCCCGACGAAGTTAGTCCCTCTGTCAGAGCGCGGGAGTTTTGCTGGACCACGAACAGAGACTAATCTTCTTAAAGCATTGATGAAACTGTCTGTTGACATGGATTCAATCAGTTCAATATGCACCGCTCTGGTAGACATGCATGTGAAGAGCAAAGCCCAGCGTTTGCTGTCTGCAGCCCCTCCTCTTGTGCGTCGCGTCATGACCAACCACGGCCCAAAGACATCCAGTCCAACAGTGGTGAACGGAGGTTCGGTTGTTAGTCTGTCAGCTGGCAGATCTGCCATCTTCTGATCTTCCAACCTTCCTCACAATTTGCGGCAGGTAACACACTTGTGGATGACAGAAGATACCAGATGTTTACTCCCAACTATCCGGTATCCAGCTGCTCGAATAGCTCCTTCTGTAAAGTGTCGCCCTTGGTGAGCTACTTTTTCATGGTAGTATCTGACAAGCAGTGTGGCGATGTGATGGTTGCGTGGAATGATCAGAGGGTGTTTTTCTTCTTCTGACAGCTCAGCCAATGAAAGACGACCTCCAACACGATGAAGACCATCTTTATCCACAAATGGATTGAGCTTCTCAAGTGTGTTTTGCCTTGTGCTGGACAGAGCGGATGATCAAAACCTTGGCTTGTGAGAGTTCACTTAAGCTGATTGTTTCTCCGAAACATTCCCATCCTTTCTTTCTTGCTTCGTCAGCCTTGCTTTTGAAAGAAGCCGCAACATGAATGAGTCTGGCTATGATCTGACAGAGCTTTTGCCAGCTTGAGCATCGCTCAAAGTGTTGAGAGCTCAACATGAACTCTGATACCTTGGTTGCTAGTGTAGACACTTCAGGACGTATCTCGTTGTCGGCTTCAGGCTCAATAAGGGTGAAGAGGCCAGGTTCAAGTGTCTCTACTGGTTTGTCCTGATGAGGGATGGGTATCGTTAGGATTTTATCGATACCGATACCGATACTGCTTATCGATACCTGTATTTTTCGATACTCTTATCGATACTTTTCAATAATTTGGTGCTCAAAAATATAGACATCAATACAAGATGTGAAGATTAAACAGTCATTTTATTGTAATTTTCTTGCAGAAATAACTTTATAACTTATACATTAGCTTCTCAGAAGCAGACACAAATAGATAAAATAACTTAAAGGGCCCCGCCCTATCATGCTTTTTGGGGTTTTCCCTCAGACAGAGGATGAAAAGAGGTGCTGCAGCACAGGCAGTATGAGACAAGCATTTTTTGTAAGCATGGAAACATGTCCCAGAATGAAAACTAAATACCCCAAAAAAATGAATGCTGCACTCAACAGTTTTTGTTTAAAAAGATAAGCATGTTCACTTTCTCCGGG